CCCGGTACTTATGGTGTTAATGAGTTCCATTGTGCAACCATACAGAGTAGGATTTCCAAATATAACTCTCATCATATGCTAATTTACCAAGTTCAAAATTTTATATTTGATAATGGAAATCCAAACTAGTCCTGATTCACTGTGTTGATGAGTTCATTCGTGCCACCATCTTTATCTAATTTCAGTTATAACTATTTCATACTGGTCCAATTTTTTTACCATATACAGTCAGAATACCAAGTTTTTTCAGTCATCTGTTGGAAATCCAACCTCATCAACCTGTATGTGGCGAGATAAACAAGGCCATATTTTATTTAGTAGCCATAACTGCCTGGATTTCCAGGAATTTTGTTTCCAGACTCGTCTGGATTTCCAGTTTCTGTTTCTCCATATACAGTTGGAATTCCGGGGTATTTTCCCCATCATACAGTGCTGGAAATCCGACCACATCAACAGGGGGGTGCAGATATAAACTGGAATGGCTCATTGAATCAAAATAACTGAAAGAAAATTCCATGGATTTAAAAAAGCTACATTAACTTTTTCACCAGCAGATTTTCTAGCCCAAACTTTCTGCACCTTTCCTTATCTTCATTATTTTTGAAAATTAACCCTAATTTTGGAGCCAACAAACACAATTAGAGTCAATTTTCAGTTTTTACTCTAAAAATTTGGCTATTTTTGTCCCAATCTTCTGAAGGAAAGTGCAGACTATAAAAATTATTTTGTGAATTTATGCTAAAAAAAGGGAACTGGTGAGAAGATTAAATACCCGTAAAATTTGACAATAGAAATTACTGTTTTCTTGACAAACTGTAAATTTAAAACCTAGTGAATATTCTTAAAGTAATTGTTTCTCCATCTACAGAAGCATATTTTTTCAGACTGGTAATGTAACTGAGAACTTCAGTTGTAACATTTATGTTTTTAATAAAAATAATTTTTTCAACTTTGCTGAAATATTCTGTCAAATACTATGCAAACTTTTTGTCAAACTCATCTACAGAGAGTGTGTGCAGCCATGAATATTAATGCATAGAAGTTGAATTGTTTTTATTAAGTTACAGTGAAGGGCAGAAAGCCGTACTTTTTTAGTTTATAAACATATTTATAAAAATTTTCAATTGCTGATCATCAGCTTTAATTCAAATTCAAATATTTGATAGTGATTACTTCAAAAACATGATGTTATCTATGTTCATTTTGTACACGCTTTCCCTCATGTGACATAGTGATCGTACAAAATGAAGCGTGTGCTGATTGGGTGATGTTGAAATGTCTCATATAAATTAATTACAACTTTTAAATTTACAATATCATTCCTGGATTGGCCAGTTTGAAATCCAACAGCCATTTTGATTTATAAAAAATATATTTATAAAATGTTCATAACATTCCCAGCTTTCTGACCTTTACTGTATTTTATTCATGTACACAGTAATGTCTATCATCAAATACATCATGTGACATCTCAATTTATATTGTTTTGTACTTTATGAGGCTGAAAAAATATTATTGGTACTGTAAAATCTGTATTAGAAACCGCAGCTTCTATTAAAATAGTACATTGCAACAGAGGGGATGCGGCTTCTATTAGAGCATCTACACATAAAAGAAATGAAGAATTTTTGATTCTCAATTATTCAAAAAGAATGGGTGTGACTTCTATTAGAGATGCGGCTTCTAATACAGATTTTACAGTAGTATTATTTATTTGCTTATATTTATTTTCTGTGTACAGACAAGTGCTGGTGGCAGACATCACTTTTCCTCTGGTTTACATGTGAGTGTCCATGAAGAGATTGTACCCATGGGAATTGACCCTGATCAGATCAGTTATCATCAAGCAGGTATTACAATAATATAGAAACCTTGCAGTTTTAACACATTGACAGCGTTAGTGCTGTTCATGTTACCTAGAACATATCTAGAACGAACACAACACAATGCTGTACAATACAAATGGCTAAATGCAATACATACAATATTGAAAGACAATTCACTAAACTTCATAAAAGAAAAAACATTCACTATCAAACAAAAAAATCAAATTAATCAAATTTTAAAAACTTCCCTTGAAAATAAATATAGCAATAGCAAACTGAGAACATATGCTAAATTTAAAACAGAATACATCTTTGAGCCATATTTGAATGAACTTGACACTCATAAAAGGAAAATGTTGACAAAATTTAGAATTAGTAACCATAACTTGGCAATAGAGGAAGGCAGATATTCATTTCCTAAGAAACCTATAAACAAAAGAATATGCAATAACTGTGACACAAATTCAATTGAAGATGAAGAACATTTTCTATTGAATTGCTCAAAATATAACACACAGGGAAAACTTCATCCAAAAAAATATGACGCTACTTTCATCCAACAATAAAAATATACAGTTCACATATATACTCTCAAGCAAAGATCCTGACATAATTATAGAACTTGCCAATTATATTTACACAACACAAAGATTTATTTAACATTTAAATACTAGTTAAGTTTGTTTGTTTCATTTTTTGTACAATTCTTACATATACCTTGTTATTATTCTAAAACTTTTTTTTGCTGTATTTATCCTATGTAAAACACGGAGGCAATAAAGTTATTATTATTATTTCTACCTATAAGCCCTAAGTATTGAATAGAAATAGAGGCAGAGCTGATATTGTTTATTTTCTATACTTTAAAACCAAGCCAGAATGAAAATAAAACATTAAAAACAGAAAATAGAACTACACAAAACAATTTGTCACAAACTTTTTACTAATATGGCTTAAATTAGAACTCTACAAATACCAATGTCTGTACCAATTATGTAACTACTGTACAACCTACTCGTATCATGCATGATTAAAAACTGTTTTTAGACCAGCTGTTTTAAAACAAAATTGCAACAGCTTGCTTTCCACACAGCTTGTCCCGGGTGACTGTGGATTAAAATAAACCCCATTAATTAATGTTTGTTGAAATACAATGTATCAAAACAGGAAAAGGGTATAAAATAATGTTATGCTTCTGGTCAGTGTTCACACCAACAAACGAGTGTGGGCCGACTTTTTAAAAACTTTTTTTCGCCACTGCACAGCACCCTCTATTGTTGAACCTGTAAATAACTGCCCTTTTTGTGAAAAAAAATTGACTAGAAACAATTTTTTGGCGAGGCCTGTCATACATTGCTTTGATATCTGTTATGTAGATACTTTATGTCATCTCTATCAGATTTGTTCATTTCAAGACAATCATAATTAAAATCATAATTAAATTGAAGTAATCCAAATCAAAGACGTATTTTTGGGGGTTTCGTTCATCCTATCTAATGTCATTTCTCAGACATGCCTTGTCCGATTTTGTTAAAATTTTGTACAAGGATAAATCCTGACATATGCATGTTGAATTGTTTTTTGTTGACATTTGACCAGTGGGGAAGTCATTTTTGTCCCGGAATCAACATTTGAAGATGTCATTCAACTGTTTTCAATCAAACTAGATATTCACTCATTTGGTGGTGGCCATGTTGGTTTTATTTTTATGTCTCCTTAAACATTCCTAAGACGTGCCTTGAAAGATTTTACTCAAATTTTTGTCAAAGATATTTTATTGACAATATATTTTTATTTCAGGAAGTCATTTGACTGTTGAGGAATTCCATGATGCCGTTCAGAACCATGATGACAATACAGTATTAATTGATTGTAGAAATTTCTATGAAAGCAAAATAGTGAGTAGCTACATTAGCTTCTAGTTTACTTTCTCAGACACCTGCTCTCAGTCGATACTACGGTACTCATTCCCAACATACCATGTTGTGGCTGTGATTTGGCTCGGAGTATAGCCACTGTATACTATGAGTTGCAACAATTAACGAAGTCGGAAAGTTTTATGTCTGGATTGACATTTATTGAACTATGAAACGGGAAACATCGACATCAGCTATATAATAATAATAATAATAATGATGGAATCACGAGGTTCTCAAGTGTCACATGACCCGAATCTCAAGTTATGATAGGTCAGTTCTAAACAAATCACTGGTCGTGGTAATAACGTCATAAGGATCAAATATGATATAATAGGAATATGAATAATCTAAACTAAACATCAAAGCCATTGTTGCACAGAAATAATACAGCAAATGGAATAATAATTATAGAAAACATTTTGGTGTCTAACTTGACAATTCAACTCAATTAGCAAACACAACTATGATTTGCATCTCGCCCGACACATGTCTCATTCGTGACATTCATGCTCACTCATTTGTAACCCGTATCTTTATTATCATGACTCTCACCTCTACATAAACTTTAATACTCACTCAGGGTTTTACATCATTTTTTTTAGATGTGTGGGTCATTGGGACCCCTTGACTGAAAATTTGGGGATCATAATTGCAAATTTGAGGGTCATGCACAAATCAAGAAATTGATATCTGTTAAATAGGGAAAACAATACAATGGAGAGTTTATGAGATGATTTGAGTTCAATGGAGGAGTACCAGTATGAAAAAAACATCTAATTTACTAAGTTTTATCAAAGTCTTTATTCATACAACAAATTCTGAACATGCATGAAATCAGTAAAAACATCGCAATAACATAAACAGTTCGCAGCTGAGCTGCGTATGATTTCAGATTGTCACTTGTACCTTGATATTTCCTCTTGTTTGCTACCTGAAGAGCGGCTATAAAGTCTGACTTCATGGTCAACACACGGACACTGATGTGACTTCTAGAGTCTTGATGCCGGATGAGAATTGAGTTACATCCGTCAGTGTAACGTTTTGGTCTGATATGTAACGAAGCAATTTAAATGATTTAGCCACCCATCTTTGAAAGAACGATCCTTCTTTAGTAAAACGTGGGGCTTTTCACTGGACGTAGCTGGTGAAGCTTCAACGGGAGAACTATCAGACGAGCTATAAACACAAAGCGTCTACGTAGTACATTTTGTGTGATTGGGGTAAATGGCGACGCACATACAAATGATGATTTTGAGCATTCCATTTAAAATCGAGGGAGGTTCTAGTGTTACAAGAGCCCATTTAGCAACTACTGCAGATCAAATGAAGTTGTGGATTACTCACGACTTGACGCCAAAATTCCTGCGTTCATGAGGGTCATACAGTCACAATTATGCATCAATGACGCAATATATTGCGTCATGTAAAACCTTGCTCATTCCCATCTTACATAATTACTCAGAATGTAGTTACTCGGTTCCAACTCAGTTCTCTCACTATTTACTCTTACACACAACTCATTTACTCACGACTCATTTACTCACTCTAAACTAACATTGTTACAATTCAGTTTCTCACTGTTTACTGTTTCTCATAACTCAGTTACTAGCTCTCAATTCATAGATACTCATTACTCTGTTACTCACTCGAAACTAACATAGGTACATGTACAACTCAGTTACTTTGCACTCTGTTATTCAGGACTTAGTTACTCACTTCCAACTCACATTGATACTCACAACTCTGTTTATTGTATTTCTAGGGTAAATTTACCAATGCACTAACTCCAAATATTAGAAAATTCAGTTATTGGCCGGAGTACGTTGATAGGAATCTCCATGTGTTTAATAATAAGAAAGTACTGATGTATTGCACTGGTGGTATCCGATGTGAACGGGGCTCAGCATATCTGGAATCAAAGGTGAGAGGTCAATTGACATTTCTAGAAAATCTACTGTGTGTGTGTGTGGGAGTACCGGTGTCTCACTTTTCCATTTTACTGCACTATGCGTATCAGTGCTTGGGACTCAATTCCTGCATGTAGGCAGGTGACAACCCTTTCGCTTTAAATAATACCCGGTAGTTCAATTTCAAAATATCACCTTGTTTGTATCATCGTAGATGAATGTCAAGGTATATAACGAGGAAAATATCTATTTGTGTTGTTGTTAAAATAAGTTTTATTCAATTAATTTCAATATTATCCAGTTCAGTATATTTTTCAAGATACTGGTTGAATTTAAAAGTGTTAGTAATATGATAATTAGATTAGTGTAGTAAACCATTATGTTGTTTTCATTATGTAATCTAAATCGAGTACAGTTAAAGCACGGTAGTCGTCGCGCTGCACAGGTTCGACATTTGTGTTGATAAACATTGATTTTCCCACAATCCAATGTGCTCTTCAAATGGAAATCACAAGTGTGAGGTTTGACCTCAGTGTGACTTGCACCGATGACTCCTTCAATACCTTCCTATCACAAGAAAATTACTTAGTTAAAGCTTGGAAACATGTCAGTTCATACTCGTTGATCTGCGCAACAGTCAAAGTCGCTATCTTTGTTTATATGAGACCCATATATCTCGCTCATGCGCAGCGTGACGACTACCACGCTTTAACATTCCCCACCAAATATGGCTTGTATTTTTTTTGTGTCAGATTTTGCAATATATATCACAAAATGTTTTGATATATTACTGCATTGTTTCAGAACGTTTATGTTCATTTTTGCCATGCACAGCAAAGATTGTACAAGGTGATTAGTGGAATTGTTAGTTTGTATCCATCTATTTATTTATTATTTAATCTAGATACTCAATAGACAAGGTTGTGATAGTTGCGCTATGTTTTTAATTTCAGGGTGTATGTAAGGAAGTTTGTCAGTTGCAAGGTGGTATCCACAGATATATAGAAAAATATCCTGATGGTAATTTTCGTGGCAAACTATTTGTATTTGACGACAGGTGTGCCATACCTGCTAATTCTGATATCATATCTAGTAAGTACAAAGGGATAGACCATTTAGAAGTGGGGGGGCAACTAATCTGGTATCATTTTTGTTTTCTAGACTCAAGCAGGAGTTGTTTTCTTGTTTATGTTCTATGCATTTTTTTTACCTTTGTGTTTTTAGTGTTCGAGAGCATCGACTGGCGCCCAGCGTATTGTCTGTGTGCATACTTTTTAATATTCTTGAACAGATTTAGCGAACTGCTTTGTGTGTGGTCCTGTCAAACCCTTGGGGCTGCCATGTTTGTTTTTAATGTTAGAGGACGCTTACGCGAGTAATTGTTCCATATTTGCAATACCACAAAATTACTGCATGCTGTAACTTATGGCGTTACAGTGACAGATGTATAATAATAATAATCTTTATTGCATCCTTAGAAATACAATCTTTCTATCAGTCTACAATGTAATTAAAGAAAGTTTAGTTAGTTAATATTAAGATAAAAGTAAAAGTAAATCAAAGTACCTGGTAATGAGTTTATAAAGAATTTCCATTTATGATTTCAAAGGATCTGTAAATATACTTCCCTACTTGTTTTATTATATTTTGGTTATTATTGCTCACCAGAAATATAAATGTTTTATGTTTATTATTTATTTTTTTAGGAAATTCAATATTTTCCGTCATGTCATCTCGATAATTGTTGTTGAGATGACAATCCATGAAGAAATGTAATTATGAGGACAGTTTATGCAATTTCTATTTTCAATTTGAGTTTTGGGTTGAGTGTGTTTACCAGTTTCAATAGCAAGGTTATGGTTACTGGTTCTAAATTTACATAAAGTGACTCTTTCTTTGAGGGGTACAGATAAATACGGTTCATAAATGTAGCTTCGTTTTCATTTTGTAAAAATAAATAAATAAATAGATAAACTTTCATGAATTTCGTGAGTCTGTGAAAATCGAAAAATTTTGAAGCCGTGAAATTCATCAAATTCATGCAAAATACAAATTTCTAGCAGCATCAATTTAACAATTTACAGTATATTGAGATTTTCTCCATATTGATAAGCAAACTAATCAAAATTATGGAAAAAATGTATCTTCAGTTTTAGACAGTTAGGTTTTTTCATCTATGCTGTGGTGATTGTTCATCCATCTTCTGTCCATCGTCCATCAACATATGCATTTTCAATTTCTTCTTGAAAACTAGCAGCTCAGTTGCTTCAATACTTGGTTTTTTTGGGTGGACCTCTATCTGTCAGATTTGTACATTTTGTTTTTTGGCTAATATTTTTGAAATTTTTGGTAAAAAATGCTATTTTTTCGACTTATTTGTGAAAACAACCATCTCAATTGCTTTGATATTCAAGGTGTACATACTTTTTGCGAATAGTTTACTTGAAGTTAAGTTGACATGTTCTCGACAGCCAGAAGGACTTTTTTGTGGTTTAAAAGTTTTGTCGCTATTTCAATCCTCAGGTTGCTTGTTACTGAATTTTATCTTTTCTCTCACAGAGTGTTCTTACTGTAGCAGACCATGGGATGATTACAAGTCGTGTACCAGTGACAATTGTTACCAGTTAGTCTTATCCTGTACTCAATGCAGAGAGACAGGAATGACAGCATGCTGCACACAGTGCTCAGACAAACAGAAGAAAACAACAGATCAAGAGATGAAAACCAGGGAAGAATGCGCTTGTACAAAGACCAGGGAGAAAATCCCAGTTGAAAAAATGGAGACATAGCAACAGGAAATGATGCCATAAGATGTTGAAAGACCACATGAATGTGACCTTTGACACCCTGGTGTCAACATCTAACTATATGAAAACTGAAAAATTAGCAAACAAGCATTTAAATCCTTCTGGGTTAGGGGTCAACAATTGGAAATCATGGGGGGGGGGGTGTACATTTTTCCTACTTGTAGGACTTTCAACCAAACACAAGAACACGAATTGATGGACAATTTTGTTGCAGTTTTACTATTCATCTAATTTTGCAGCTCAGTTGGTGAAGTATGGTATTCTTTGAGTTTCCTCGTAGATTTCAAATAAATAGTTGTTTTATATAGACTTCAGATATTTTATTCAAATTTGTGCATATTAACTAATTTGTATATTAACATTTTTAGCTGGTTTCTACCTTGATAGCCACAAATCATGTGTAGATTAACTTGGTTTTTAGCTATCTCAATAACATGGTGACTATTTGACCAAATCATTCAACAATATGATGTAATAATTTATTTGAGCTATTAATTTACATATTTTAATAGTTACGTATGAAGTTGCACAGTTCGACCAATAAACATGCTGAATCAGAATGGTATTCGTAATGTGATAATGTTCCATAGCATCAGTGTTTGAAAAAGATACGCACATGCTCTCCATGGCCTTTTATTTATATTATACAGATGGCGAGTGTCACAGAATATTGTACCCTTAGTGCCTCATTCCATGAAAGATCACTGTGTATGTGTTATATGCAGGAATTTTCATTCAAACGTCACATACACGTCGTATCATACATATGAACAGGTTTTTTTTTTCATGATCCAATTTCAAGATGGCTGATTGGCAGCCATTTTAATGCTAAAAATTCGCCAAAATCAACCAGTTTTGCCATTTCAGAACTGGATCTTGGTCGTGCATGGACATATTTTAATTCAAACATGGTATGTCCATTAAAAATCGATTTTTGATGTATGTTATTTTTTTCCTGATTGTTTTTTTTTTTACGATGGTAACATAGCTAGACTGATCATGTTATGTCATGGGCTGATTAAAGAAAGGATTAAACTGGTTCCACTTTGTATCATGCTCATTACATAAATGTAAATAATTATTTGGCAGATGTTGACAGGTACTTCATCAAAATCAAGCATTCATGCCATTCCGGAACTGGTTCTTGGTACGGAGCCTTGTTTTATGGATCAGATTCAAAATGGCCAAGTGATGGCCATATTATTGTAAATAATCATTTGGCAGATGTTGACTAGTACTTCATCAAAATCAAGCATTCATGCCATTCCGGAACTGGATTTTGGTTCTTGGTACGGAGCCTTGTTTTATGGATCAGATTCAAAATGGCCAAGTGATGGCCATATTATTGTAACGCTACGACAAACTTCATAATTTTCAGGGAATATGTAGGGGAATTGTGCGGTAATACACAAATGGGCACAAACAATTACATTAACCACACTGATATTTATTAATCTCAACATGTGGTACAGGTACAGTATTAAAGTCACATGACATAATTACACATTACAAGCATCAAAGCCAAGTTCACATATTGCTCTATCAGTAGCATGTTGTGTTTATGGTCAAAATAAGTCAGATTTTACTAACCCAGTATGCAATAAATGATGTCTTTCCAACAAAACAAACACAGTACTACCTTTTTCACTGCCATTCATTTTTTTCTCTCTGTCAATTTGATACAAATTAGAACTCTTAAGTTTTGAAAATGGCGGTAAAAGGTCAATTCTGTGTTGCTGCCACTGTAAATAAAGAGTGGATAAAGATAAGGGTATACAACTACGATGACATGCACTGAAGAGCTCACTTATGAGAAATTGTGAGACAAATGTCATTTCTAGAAATATAAAAGTGAGTTTGTCCACGAGAAAAATGGGGTTCGTCATGTACTGTTCTTGCTTATTCTTCAAGTGTGTTTTCATCCCTTTCCGCAGTTACAGACGCGGTTTTGTTGGAAAATACTTGTGCATTCTCAAACTACGCATCACATGATTTAAATAAAACCTGTATCAAGGTCATCTGTCATGGTATTATATACAATTAATTTACAATATTGGGGCGCCATCTTGAATCCTTGTCTTTTTTAATACTAATAGCAAGAATTTAAGATGGCTGCCATTATCAGTAAATTAAACAAATCATCATTACCACTTGAACGTCAGCAAAGAGCTCATCATGCATCTCCATGCATCCCTTATCTACTTTTGCCAGATTAATATGCAAATTAACCACAACATGAGTTTTTGCTGAAAATAATACGCACAACAAATGCATACAACTTGATTTACATCTTTAAAAAATTTCAAAATTGCAGCAAAATATAAACAAAATAAATATTTTAACTAAAAAATAAAATGTATAAAAAAACATTCAATGCTGGTAGAGAAGTTTTTATCTATAATAAACGAGTCGGGACTGTTTGGCATGACAACCAATTTGCAAACCTTGAAGGCAGTCGAAAGCCACATTGTATATGCACATATATTAAAAAACTTGTATTTTTGTGATTTAATCATTTGAGGACATGCACAAAAAATAAAGTGGGAACGTCACTGAATTCTCAAGAACCCTAATGAAATTTTGGAATAAAAAATAAGATCTGTTTAGAGTAACTTATAAAAGGTATCATGAAAATGATAATTTGCATAGCTGATAAAGTGAGCATAGTTGTTTTGTTTCTGAAACAAATAATACAAGAGACGAGAGTGACACTTTAGGAAATAATTGTCATGAACTTGACACATCTTTGATCAAGTCCATGCAACAATTAAATTTCAAAGTTTTCAAATAACTGCAACAGATAGCTGCTCTCATGCCAACAAGTTTCAGAAATAAAAGACTGACATAAATCAGTTGATTTTTCTTCATGTAGTATCTGCAGTACAAATCAGCTTGGCATCATGTAACTATAACTATCACTATAACTACATCTTAACCTTTTCACCACCAGTTCCCTCTTTTCATCACAAATTCACAAAATAGTCCCGTTTATAAGTCTGCACTTTCCTTCATGAAATTTCAACAAAAATAGCAAATTTTTTTGAGTGAAACTGAAAATTGACTCAAATTTTATCTGTTGGCTTCAAATTTGGGGTTTATTTCCAGAAAAAATGCAGAAAAATTTGGGCGAGAAATTCTGATGGTGAAAAGATCAATAAAACAAATGTGACAATTTTATTCTTGCATCTTGATTTCTTTCAGTAAGTGTGAAATTATTTTTGCATAATAAAAGTTAGTGTTCTTTACAAGTTTTTTTTAGGTGGGTGGCCCACCAGACCAGCATTTTGAATGGATGGCCCACCGGACCAATGTTTATATCCCTGTCACTAAATAGAAGATCAGAGTTTTTTCTGATTACTGTGAATCATCCAAAAATTTTGCCGACTAATATTTAAGAAATAATGGGCTAGATTCTCAAAGAAAAACAATTCAAATCTTGAAGACAGTCTGTGCCCCTATTTGATAAGCTGAATGTTTGCTCACATGGTTTATAATGAAACAAATATACACATGACAAGTTTTGACCAATTTACTCTCATTTCTGACATTCTTTTTAAACATTTTCTGTAATTTTCTTTTGGAACACGCGCATATTTTTGATGTCGCTCATAAGCTAAAAAAAACAAAACATGGATAACTTATCAAATCGTACATCAAACTACATTGTTGCAAGTACATCGGCAGTAAAAAGGGAAAATTCTGGCAAATTGTTGTAATGCACTTCATAAAAAATAATTTATAACAGAACTAACCAAGTAAATTGCGAGAAATCTGAAACTGTTTTTGTTAATGGCAGACTGGTCATGTCAATATAGTAATATTGTAAAGGTTTCAGATAGTTTGAAATGATCAGCCTAAGTACTGCTGACTCTGAAGAACAACTACGTCAAAAAAAAAAATGCATTCAACTATTTCTGCAATCTGATTGGTGCTTGAAAGATCTGCTGAAACGTATATTCAATCTTCTGGTACAGGTAAGTTTTTCAAGTCTTTCAAGTTGAGGGCGCAGTAACTTAAGCTGAGCATGTTAGACTAAGGATGCAATTTTTTAATTTTTAATTCAAGTTAGTTAAAGTCCATGTCAGCCTCTCTTGAGAATGATTGCTCAGTCCCAAGTTTCTACCTACTTCATAACAAAAAACATTCAGATATAATACATATATAATCACAGTAGACTCGTAGTTTTGTGGCAAAATGTATACTTCCACAGAATCCACAAATTGGCAAATATAGATGTGCCAAGTAAAATACAAATATTTTACTACATAGTAAACTCGCATCATACGCAGTGTCAAACTCTGAAATAAACCACAAACAAACACACCAGTTCACAACCAATCAGAACGATTATTTAAAAATAGGTAAATATCCAATCACATGACAGGAAAGTAGAGTTGCTATCAAAATAGCACAACTGTTAAAATATCAATATAACAGTTACAACAGTCTACATCATAGCAAAATATTACAAAAGCGAAAAGTAGCCTTTAAACAGTATGTACATTTTGTATAACAGAAACGGTGCCCTCATGCAACTATGAAATCAAATACTGTAGAATACTTTATTTTAGCTGGAATAAATTTTCGCTGAAAAGACTTTTTGATTTTTTGTATGGAATTTTCATTTGTTTTTGACAAGTTGAATGTAAAGTATAGGAAAAAAGGGTATATTCGCTGGATTTTATTTTTACTGAATCATTCCTTCAGCAAAAATAGCAAAAATTAATTCCAAGCGAAAATAAAGTATTCTACAGTAATTCATACCTCATTAAATATGCACATTTATAATTAGTTATGCCAAACTAAAGCTACATTTAATCTTCAGTATAAAAAAGTTAGTATATCTAATAATGCTAATAAGAACTAGCAGTGGAAACTACACAAGTTATATTATTCTACATGTTTAATATTTATTATTATATTAATTATTATTATTATATTAATCTATTTTTTAGAGTTTGAAGAATCTACACAGCCCATATGATAAATACAAAATTTTTCAAAAGTTGCAGAATCAACAGCACAATCAGACAACTTTGCCAGGATAAGAAAATTTCATAATATTAGTAGAAGAGATGAATTTATACAACTTTTAATATTTAACAGATAAATACAAGTAATTACTACATGGGGAAAAATGTGAGGATCACACTCCGTAACTGAAGATTTTATCTCAAAATTATGAAAATAAGTCACATGATTAAAATATCGTCAAATAGAGAGTTCAACACCTCTAGAAGAATTTTTTTTATTTTCCTGACAAAACTTTTTTTAAGGCAGAATTTTTACATCTTTGGCAAAATTATTTGAAAAAGTTTGCATTCAAAATTGTTCATACTCTTTTTACATATCACCTGTACTCTATGACATCTGAAATGCACTTCAGATTACGACAAAAAAAATTCATCACTTCTCAAATCAGTCGCCACCTCTATAAAAGTGGACTGAACATGGAATGAATAATGAAAACAATTAGGTATCAACTACAATTTGATACATACTAACTTTTTTTAATTCTCTCTCAAGCCTACACCACCACATAAGTGTACTTTGTGAGTGGAATGGTCAACAAAATGCAGGGGTGTATAGCCTGAATGCATTTTTGATTTGCTGTGCTATAATCTATCCCCATCACATTAAAGCAGCACACCCCTGCATGAATCAACTTTTTTCAATGGAATGGTCAACAAAATTAGCCTGAATGCTATAATCCATGTCCATCTTATTATAGCTGCACATTCTGGCAAAATTCAACTTTGCTAATGGAATGACCACAAAAACACATGGCATATGAACCTAAATGCGTTTTCCTAATCGTACACAATCTATGCCCATCTTCTTAAAGCGGCACACCCCTGTAAAAGTCTACTGTGCAAGTGGAATGATCATCAAAACACAGGGGTGTTTGATGCCTGATATTTCAAACATCTATATCGGCGTTGTATCTTTTCTTGGCATTCACATCCCAGTACCTGTCCTTGTCTTTCTGTAATCTGCGTTCAGCATTTTTCCTCCTTGTTATTTTGCTGTAAACAAAAATAAGATTCATTAAAGCGGGAGGGTCTTCACCTGTGCACGTGCGGGAATCGAGTCCCAAACGACGATAACACACGCTAACAATTTTTAGGCTCATGGGTAGACGCTTGTTTGTAAACAATGACACACTATGGCCATCTTTCGCATGTGCAGGTGACGACTCCCCCGATTTAAGTGATACTGATCATCCAGATACGATACAGGCACTCAGACATGACGACAGCAGTGCAACCAAATTTCTTCACACCTATGGAAGCTAAAATACACTTTGTTTACCATGTTATACACAAAAGTACTAAACATAAGCAGTTTTATAATAGAGGTAATATGATAGTGTACATAATTAGCAATTGTCATAGTAACAATAGACTTTAGATGTGATTGGCTGCTGATATCTCATTGAGAGCGACACAACCAATCAACAAATAACGTTCCAGTCTCTCTGATTAAGGTTAGCAAGAGGGGAAATCCAATCGTTTAGTTAAAATGATCTGAGCAATTCAAACTAAAACATAATTATGGCAAATATATATTTTCTGATATCTGAAATATTCACAAATTAGATAATTTATGTGATAATTTATTAAGTGTCGATGAACGTTTGTATGTGATTATTTTTCTAATAATTATCATAAATACTAATTATTTCTTCAAAAAAAAAAAGTCGCTAATGAAGCTCAGGAAAAAATGGTGTTAATTTCAAGCGCGTACTGTTAGAGGAAGTACCGCCAACTTTTTTATATCCACTGATTTATATAACAATGGTATTTGTAACCATGGATGCAATGGCGAAAAAGAATAGAACATTATTGGAGGGAAAAAAAACATGTCTTGTGGTTCACGCCTTCAACGAAATCTCAAGGACAGTATTCAACTCATTTTCTGAATCTTTCACCAGAATATTAATTTTAGCGTAATTTTAGTAGCCTGACTGACTGACTTACCATGCGATGTATGTTATAACAATTATAAGTACTAGAAATAAAACACCTGCAGCTATAGCACCATACAACCACATTTGAGGAAAGTCTGCAATACAAGGAAATAATCGTCAGTTTCCAATAGCAACCCTGAATTATGTAAATTACAATAATATACATATGTATGAAAATATGAAAATGAATTCAAACATCTGCAATGTTTCAATGTTTAACGCCAAACCAGTTTTAAATATGCAAATTAGGTCATCAATTTGCATATATCTCACAATGTTTAATAATGTTTACCTTGACTGGAGTTTGTTGCATACTTTGATTTATCAGCCTCATTGTCTTCATCAGTGTACATTACTGTGCTGTATTCAACTTCAAGAACTCGATTATCTAGTAGTAAACAGACTTCCAAGAATCCAAGCGAGCTGTATAGCAGTAAAAATAATCGAACAAGTTTTATATTATTCCCTGAGTGTTATATAATGAATTGCATGTTAGTCCAGTTTCAGGGAGATTGTGGGTGATTGCTGCAGTCAACTGTTAACTTTCCAGGATTATGGTTTCTCTAGTTGGGAGAATGGCGTTCACTACTTACTCCTTATGACAAGGATAATGTGAAATTGATCATAAAATTATGATTATGATTTTCACTATTGAATGTCACTGTTTTCTCCTGATTTGCAGAGCTGACATATATATTGCATTTTGCCACAAAAAACAATATTTAAGTTTGGAACTACGTGATAGGGTTGTGTAACTATCTTCCCATAATAATAGCATTATGATAATGTAATGTTTTATCCTGTTGTCAACTAGGCCCAGTAGAGCATAGGCACCTGCCTATGCAGGTGAATTTAAAAATTATTTAAGAATCCCCAAAGTTAGTGAATGAATCTCGGCCAGTGGATTTAGCCTTCCCATTGAGTCTGTGACATGCTCAATCTTTTTCAGCATTCAACCCCATATAGAATTTGGTCTACTGATCATGAGTTTGAAACGACAACCACTTTACCATGATGAACGATTGAAATGAAGGGTCTTATGACGTAAGATAAAAATATGAACTGGCTCACTGATGTTTGCTATCGGTATCTAAGACAACAGTACTTGTGGAGAATGTCTAGAGTCATCATAATAAAATTCATTGACTAGTTATGAATGCAGTAAAAAGTAGAGGTAATATCATACCTAATAGCACCAGCAAACCCCTCATCACAGGCGCAGACACCCCCTTCAGTACAAAAGGAATGTTCCACTGTGCATTCAGGATGACATTTGCGCTCAGATGACGGCATTAAAGAATCCAGACAGCCACCTGTATACACACAATAATAACACAGTTAAATGACAATCGTAGTGCTGTATATTCTCTATCAAAAGCACATCTCTAACATAAATGCACATAAACCATAATGTGATATTATTGTATGCTGGATCATTAAAATATGACTTATTTTGATTATTCTTGGGGGTGGACATCGGGGCATTTTCATTGCTGAGCAACTATCACGGTGAAAACAAAAGCCAAAAACTTGAATAACTGTACTTTGGGGGCTAACTGTTGAGACTCTCTAAAATGGTGTACCAAGACTACCCCTACATGTGCAACATAGAAATTTAGTTGCTCAGGATTACTTCAAAGAGTGAATTTTACGCTATTTTCTTGACCTTAGCTGTTTTCATCGGCTCCTCGATTGGCAATCTATAGCAGCTCGCGTAGAAATGTTTTGTGACATAGCACAGCTCCCCCTCCCCCGAGAAGAGACACACTTCTGTCATTTACATCATTATGTTCTACGAATAGAGCTATAATACATTATTCTCACAAAACAGTGAAAATTATTTATCTTGTGGAATTTACTCCCCTCAATCGACAGCTAACTCATTATTAAAACACATACATTTTTAGAGTTTTTAGAAAGTATTTCGACATTCAACGCAAAAATATTTCTTACCAGTAACATTCAATCCATCTGACCTCTGACACCAAACATTACGAAATCCATCGTCTGTCCAATCACTTGCATGCCAATGATATTCAAAACATTCACCTTGACCTTTTAGAGAAAAGAGAATAAAAACAGAAAATAAATAAAGTGTAATATTCTACACAATATTGAACGGTACACAACAATATTGAACGGTACACAACAATATTGAACGGTACACAACAATATTGAACGGTACACAACAATATTGAACGGTACACAACAATATTGAACGGTACACAACAATATTGAACAGTACACATCAATATTGAACGGTACACAACAATATTGAACGGTACACAACAATATTGAACGGTACACAACAATATTGAACGGTACACAACAATACTGAACGGTACACAACAATATTGAACGGTACACAACAATATTGAACGATACACAACAATATTGAACGGTACACAACAATATTGAACGGTACACAACAATATTGAACGGTACACAACAATATTGAATGGTACACAACAATATTGAACGGTACACAACAATATTGAACAGTACACAACAATATTGAACAGTACACAACAATATTGAACGGTACACAACAATATTGAATGGTACACAACAATATTGAACAGTACACAACAATATTGAACGGTACACAACAATATTGAACGGTACACAACAATATTGAACAGTACACAACAATATTGAACAGTACACAACAATATTGAACAGTACACAACAATATTGAACAGTACACAACAATATTGAACAGTACACAACAATATTGAATGCTACACAACAATATTGAACAGTACACAACAATATTGAACAGTACACAACAATATTGAATGGTACACAACAATATTGAACAGTACACACCTATTAGTACCAGTACACTACATACATATTTTGATCATCACATATTTTAAGGGGGTTTGTAACATTATCATATTCTAGTGTTCTGTCTTATTTTTTTGGGATGAAATGACCTTGCTAAATAAACTAACCTAATGTCAAACAGCAATGTCAAACATACTTACCATGACATACTCTAGTTTCATATATATCTGTATGACACACACCAATAGAGGGGCTTGATATGGCCGCTTTAGATCTCACTTGTATAGGATCTATATCACCTGTGTAGAAATAAAGATGAATTTAGTTCTAATTTCCAGTTTCATTTACATATATTTGCATAATTGGCAAAAATCAAGTGTCCAACTGTTCTAATAATAAATCATCGATCAAACAGTCTAACTTACAATGCCACAAATCATTGTATAAAGCTAAATGCAAAATTGTTCAGTTTTTAAACTGATGTCTAACTAACATTTCAGGTCATTATAGTAGTAATACTGTAAAACAAGTCTTTTTCGCGAGCATATCTTTTTAGCAAATTTAGCAAGAGAACTAATTCGCTAATTTAAGATGTCGCTAATGTCTTCATTATAAATTCAATATGGCAGCCAAACAACGTCTTTTTCTCCAGACACACATTTTGTAAACAACACAAAAAACGGAATAATCTGGAGCGCTTTCTCATTACACTTGATAGTTTTTCTTTGTTTTTATGGAGGTGATAACTGCGCATTTGTTTTGGCAGTATTGTGGAAACAGGAAATCAACAAAGACAAGAGAGATTCGCTAAATCAACATTTCGCTATTACATCATTTTACCACAATTCGCTAAGATAGTGTATAAATATATAAAGTAAAACTTACTTAATTTGTTGCCTTCTATGCATGTATGGAGACATGGACTCCAATCAGACCACGGAGACATGTCACATTCACCTGGACATGGTGTAGTACAAACCTGCTGTGTCTAAATAAACAAAATAGTTCCTTACAGTAAAATGTTGCCACCAATGTTAGAAAAGTTGAAAACCATGTCTATGTTATATAAATATGAACATTTATGAAAGAAACATACATAGTGAGTAGTTTACATGCTGGAAGACATATGGTGTTCAGTCTTCAGCTTACATCCAGTGGTGAGAAAGATTCAAGAGAGGCTTGTATACTGTAAGATACTTTATTTTTGCTTGGATTTTATTTTTGCTATTTTCGCTGAAGTAATGATTGAGTGAAAAATCAGCGAATATACCTTTTTTCCTATGTTTTACATTCAACTCGTCGAAAATCAGTGATAATAAATTCCATACAAAATACGCAAAAAATCTTTTCAGTGAAAAATAATTCTAGCTAAAATAAAGTATTTTATAGCATATGGCATATAGCATAGAACAGCCCCACCTGTTGTATCTGCTGTATGCAAATTACTTTTTGTGTCATGGTAATATGGGTATTCTAGGTAATTATAGCCCAGTCAGTATTTTGCTTTGATAAAATATTAGTGGAAACGTTTTTGATAACTTTCATTAATATTGAGGATTAAGTAGAAGAATTCAATTATACATAGCTTTAGATAGATTTTAGTAAAAAGTTAAAGATTTTCCATAATAACTACTTTGTGGAAGGTGATGAAACTTGACAATGGGGCGAAAGGGATGATATGCAAATTACCTAATTAATATGCACAGATAGAACATCAGGGAAGGTGATGACAAATTTATAAGGATGGGGAATGAACCATAACCTTTATAGTAAGACCCCACAAGTTTCATCTGAAAGTAAACTTACCTGCATTCTTTCAAAATCCTCTCGCATCACCATTTTGTTGCTATGGTATTCATCATTGCCATAGCAATTAAAATCGTCAACTTCCACTCCATCTGCTTGTTGACATGTTACATTGCGGCGTCTGTTCCCATGACCACAATCCCCAACCTATAAACAAACAACATAAGTTGTTAAATACAATATTTATTTATCTAAAATATGCCCCATGCATGCCATTAAAAGACTAACATCTTAGAAATTCGATAACAGCAATATCAGTTTACTACAATTATCTACTAGATATCTGGTTCTCATTGGTAGTATAAATGTCTTCATTCTATTTACTTATTTATATTTCTAAAGAATGTTTTATTTCAACCACATTTTACCCAATACCTTGAAAATTGCATGATAGTGATTGAAAAGATTCCAAAATTCGATCAGATAAAAATTATTTGAATTATTGTAACACCAAGAAAAAAAGTTTAAATGAAATTAAATTAACGATGACAACAACAACATCAAGAACAGATATTATCCCTGCTGATATGGACAAGGTAAAAAACAAAAAACAGAAATGACAATGAAAGACATTCTGATCATTATATGTTGAGACCAATTCTATTATTATGACAGGTAGGACAAAATGTATTTGTTGTACATAAAACAAATAGTCATATGAGGTTATTACGAGGATGCCTCAAAGTATGCACGAAGACAGTACAGAGTATCGACCGATGTACAGTGGAGGTTGATGAGACAGCGTACTGTCTGGGTGTATATTTTGAGGTATCCTCGTAATAGCCTTATTTTTATACAAATTTTCCTTCCAAGGATACATCATGGGAATGCCAAAATCCAAAAAGTTTATAACAGAATCAGCAAACTTCTTTGTGTGGAGTCGGATCAAACCCTGGTGGCAGCCATATTTGTTTTTATTATTAGAGGATGTTTACGTGAGTACCAGTAATCATTCCATATTTGGAATTTGTATTTCCTTATATGGTAGGATGAAAATACCCCGTAAAATATCGCAAAATTATGGCTTGCTGTAACTTATAGCGTTACAGTGACAGACATATAATAATAATAATTATGTAAAAAGTTATTAAGACTCAGCATTTAACATGTATAACATAATAATAAAATGTTACATTATAAAATGACAAACTCACTGATGTTTCACAATATTTCCATTCATCAATGACCCAGTGATAGCAAGGTGGCAAGGCACATGGCTTATATTGGACGAGGCTAGTAGGACACATTCTGCCAAAAGTGTTGGGTTCTTTCACTATATGTCGACTCCTTGTTATCAAACCTGCAATAAGTACATGTGAAAAAAGTTACTGTAAAACACATCTTACAGCAAGTCTCAGAAGTATTGGGGCAGCAAGCGAACTGGCTAACTGCTTGGGTTTCGACCAATCAGTTGGCTTTCAAATCTTGCTGGTGTTGTCTTGTGGTCACGCCCACTCTGGACTGCAACTAACTTAAGATGCTGCTATGTAAAAATAAAGTATATTCTCACTTGTATAGATGACGATTCTGTTAATACATGCATTAAGTCAAATTTGTTAAAATGACATAGTAGCTATTTCAACGTCCTTTATATATGACTACCCCAGTATATTATAGTACTAGTATATTAACTATTGAAGTTACATGAAAGTGTACATTGGCTCTATTCAGTCAACTGTGACATCTGACAATCCATTTGACATTCATTCTTACCTTCATATCCACATGTATGTGTACATTGACTCCATTCAGTCCACTGCGACATCTGACAATCCAGCGGACATTCAATATGACAAATGGCTGACAATGGGTTGGGTTTATAGTTCAATGAAAACTGAAACGAAAAAAAGATATACATAACACGTTAGATAAGAATGCACTACTTAGTGTGCGTGATGAAATCAGTAGTCCTGATTCTAGAGCAATATTCACATTAAGATTTTAAAACTGAAACTGGAAATATGAAAGGATGACTATATTGACAAAATGACAGAGGAGCCAGTTTTATATCTTGTTCTATATTGAAGACTAGCTGTTCAGATTTCAGAAGTTTTGCTTGTCAGAATGGTTTTATGTAAAGGTTTACATTCATTTTTACCTGTGCACAGTAATCTAGAGAAACACTGCTACCATCATTTGTCCGTATGCATTCCAAAAACCTGTTTTTCTTTCCCTTGCCACACACTGCATTATCGTTTAATTGACACGTACTCCAAGCTGACACACTCCATTCATAGTCAAAACAAACAGTATCTGAGCATCCCTGAGTTTCATTTAGAACAGGACAGATACCACCATCTAGGCTAGGATGGCGTTCTATGAATCTATGCCGATGTCTCAAGGCCTCTTTGCTGCAAGGCTGTAGAAGCAATTAATTAAAAATAAATAACTGTAAATACTGTATGACGTGAATGTGAAATACAATGTGTTCTAATAAATGCAGCATCAGAACTAATTCACATATGATCAATAGTATTAAAATATGCTAAATTATGCAAATGAACACTTAATATGCACTGAATCGCACTAAAATAATTGTAAAAATAAAGCATTATATCTATATGCTAAATTGTAACAACAGGAAGGCAAAAGACACCCCCTCCCACACACATACATACATACAGTATGACACAATGAGGTCCTACTTTTGTGCTTAATAGGCACAATGATAAAACCTTAATCGAAGAAATCTTTTTTCCGTAATAATATAACATATTTCATATTAATATAATGTCTATATACACAAAATAGTCAATATTTGACATTTAGAATTATAATAAAACTTAATCTTACATGATCACATTGCGACCATTCGGACCAATCACTGACAACACAGTCTCCAGGGCATGGCTGTACGCACGGAACTCTGGCTCCTTCTGGTTGGACAAGCTTATCACAGTACATAGGGTCAACTATTGCATCTTGCTTTCCTGGTAACCGTGACATACACCTAATGAGAATAACAGTGTCTTATTACTTGTTACCATTACATCAATTGGTAGACCCAAGTTCTTATACGATATCTAAAAAGTGTAAATGTACCATAGGAAGGAGAATCCATTAGTTGGATTCATTCTCTAATAGAGGCGATTTTGGAGGAACCTTGTTTAGCTTGCAAATGTGTTGGACTAGGCCTGGTTGACACCAGAATAGAGCACTAATTTGTCATAATGCCACCATGTTAGGAAAATTGTCACACATCCCTGGTATGTAGTTCCCAAACATGGAATATAGTTACTATGGCAAATAGACTACATAATTACTGTAAAATACATTATTTTAGCTGGAATTAATTTTCACTGAAAAGACTTTTTGGGTGTTTTGTACAGAATTTATTTTTACTGATTTTTGACGAGTTGGATGTAAAATATAGGAAAAAAGGTCTATTCGCTGGATTTCATTTTCACTGAATCATTCCTTCAGTGAAAGTACCGAAAATTAATTCCAAGCGAAAATAAAGTATTTTACAGTATTAGTATTCCCACTTGCAATTGGTACATAATAAAGTCTGGAGAGACAACAGTGAAATTTAATGTCCAGAACTGTTATATGGCACAAATATATATATATATATATATAAAAGAACTGGAACATCCAGAGTATTTAATCTTCAGTAATCTGAGGCTTAATTGTTTTGACAGTTGGCACTTGTAGAGAAAGTGTGTCTACCTGATGAAAAATATTTCAAGGTAATTGAGATTGTCAAAATAGGTTGGATTTTGTTAAACATAGATAATGGTACGTTGGGGAATTCAAAACCCAATGTAATTATACTGCCAATACAAAAACAAAACCAGGGGGAATCCAAGAATGAACAACTAGTCAGACTTTAGAAGTGCTTCACTGACATTCAGATATAAATGTCTTCAAATTGCATCACATACGTTATATAGTAGAAAAAAGTTGAATGTCCATGGTGTTGCGATCCCAATTTTGAAACACGTCCCATCAGTGATAAAATATACTGCAAGCCAACACTATGCTCCTGGGGCAAAAAAACACAATACTGTAAAATACTTTATTTTAGCTGGAATTATTTTTGGTGTTTTGTATGGAATAAATTTCCACTGATTTTTGATGAGTTGAATGTAAAATATAGGAAAACAGGTATATTCGCTGGATTTTAATTTTCATTGCATCATTCCGTCACCAAAAATAGCGAAAATTAATTCTGAGGAAATATAAAGTATTTTACAGTAATTTACACAAAATGCAGGCTTCTCATTCCACTAAGAATGATTTTTTTATTTTTCATTAAATATATATGACGACTGGGTTTTAATGTATACTTACTGAACTTCTCTACGTTGCCACCCAGCACCGCATAACTCCCCTTTGTAGGTATATACATCACATTCTAACCATGGCTCAGCTACCCACACATAATGACTACAGTCTGTATGACATGGAACCTCTTGTACAATCTAGCAGAAACATTAACACTGTATTATTTATCTCACATTGTAAGATGGAAATTTATCATTTGAGGCATATCATTACTGTATTTACTTTGTTAGTAGCATACACTAACCAGGTATGTAAAGTTTGTTCTATGATCAATATTGGTAAAAGACACAGGACTCTTGCAATGCATGGTGGGAAATCAGTATTTGGGAGATACCATGATACACAACATAGCAGAGACAGAAGACATGGAACTCTTGCAATGCATGGTGGGAAATCAGTATTTGGAAGATACCATTATACACAGCATAGCAGAGACAGAAGACACAGGACTCTTGCAATGCATGGAGGGAATTCAGTATTTGGGAGATACCATTATACACAGCATAGTAGGGAGAGTTGACCCAAGCACTGCTATAAAGCCTAATAAGAACATCTAGAGCAATTGTGAAATGGGAAATTGAAAACCTGTTGTGACGGTAATTAATACTTACATCATTATTTTCATTTATGTACGGGCATTGTCTTCCATTATTGTGTTCTCTCTCCTTCAGATATCGTGACCGTGTCTTCATCCCAGTACCACACGTTTTACTGCACGTGCTCCACTCAGACCACGGACTCAGTTTGCAATCCGACGGGCACGGCAAGTCACAAAAAGCTTCCATGAAATCTGAAATTAAACATAACATAGCAAAATATAAATGAAGAGAAATAACATTTAACACTCTGAGCACCAAAATCAAATTTCGTTACCATTCACATAGAAAATAACCTTGTGCAATTTTTTCCCTATTAATTTTTTCATAAGACCTGTTGGTAATGAGAAACAATACCTATTTGGTTGAAAATCTACAGCACTTTGGTCAAGAAATTTATGCCATTCAAAGAGTTAATACATTAACAATAGTAAACAAGCAGGTCTTCAGCTGAGATAGCTCCACTGCACATTTCAATTAGAGAATTTAAGATATCATCACAAAATGAACAAATCTGAGAACGGTTCACCTAAGGTATCTATATGTATAATATCAAAGCAATCAGACTTGTGGTTTTCAACAAAAAGTCAATATCACTTTTTACCAAAAATGGCAAAAATAGTCATCAGAATCAGAGATAATCAAATTAAAGATACCATAAAATGAACAAATCTAAGAAATGTCTACCCAAGGTACATCTACACTAAGTATCAAAAGTTTCAAGAAGAAAAATTAAATAGTTGATGTGGACGCCAACGACAGACAAGCACTCATATGATAAGCTGTGCTCGACAAAGTCGACAGCGGAGCTAAAAATTTAATTGATCTATCTACCATTGTATGCTAATTAGTATGTAAATTAGCTGCAGCACTTTAATTTTGTTTTCTGGAGAGAACACTTGTAAATTGTTTAATAATTTATATAATTTTACTAACAATATGATCATGAGTGAAATGTTAGCATATTCCACCACTACAATATGTTGTGTGTGGCAACGAGCACTATAAGAACTACAAATTTCTTATGACCAGTTTCAAGTTTTTCTGACCAGACAGTATTCACTGCCAATACTGGAGATAACGTGTGGTATCAAGAAGTACTGTTATTTGGTTCACACTCGAAAAGATATAAATATTTCTTTTTAATCTTCAGTATCAGTAGAGAACAATTAACTTCTAATTACTGAATAGGCTGAACATCAAAAGGGTCGACCCCTACCCTGGGTGAGTGTGCTACAGACTCAATGGGAAGGCACTTGCAATTTGCACATACAAAAAAAAACAAAGTCAGAAGAGACAACAGTGACATTCAATGTCTGGAACTGCCGCCTGGCACAAAAAAAAAAATTAAAAATTTGATTTAACGTACCTTCTTTTAATCCACACACTGAGTTGGGAACAATCTTTCCATTCTGATCCAGGCAGATAACTCTTTTAAATTTCAAACCTTCACCACACTCCTCTTCTAATGGTTTATCTCTACCTAATTTATCCTTTGTTTTCTTAACAAAGCAGTCTGACCAGTTACCAATGGGTGTTATGATTCCTGGTGGTGGACAGGTACACATCTCAGAGTCTAACAGCGGATACAGATCAGTGTTTTGACATTCAGTGTTATGACGGCTTTTACCTAAAATAAGAACAGAGAGATAAACTAGTGCCATGCCACGCTTAAAATGGGTTGAATTTGTATACATTTTTAGTATTTTTCATTGAATTCAATCTTAAATTTGGACCAAACAGACAAAATGTGACATTGCTTCAAGTTTTTGATCAAGAAAGTTGAAATTTTCGTCAACTATTTTGTGGCTGGTGCCTGAAGTTGACTTTGGTGCTCAGATGGTTGGCAAAGTCCACTAAGTTGTTCTTCTGCTAGCGCTAGTTGATAATGGCTGATTTGATTCCAACTACTATGTTCCAAAACATGGAATATGGTTACTATGGCAAATAGACTAATTACTGTAAAATACATTATTTTAGCTGGAATTAATTTTCACTTAAAAGACTTTTTGGGTGTTTTGTACGGAATTTATTTTTACTGATTTTTGATGAGTTGGATGTAAAATATAGGAAAAAAAGTATATTCGCTGTATTTTATTTTCACAGAATCATTCCTTCAGTGAAAATAGCGAAAATAAATTCCAAGCGAAAATAAAGTATTCTACAGTCTGTCTTGCCATAAACTTGTAAGACCTTATTCTGAGTAGTTGGTCATCATTTGAAAACATGTCATAACTCACAGAAAACTATGCAACTCACATTGCATAATAGAGTGTATTTTATTTTATTTTGTTTCAATTCGCTACTGAATGAAATTACTAACATAAACATATTAGTCACTATAGTTAAAATTATTTTCATCCTAGATCCTAGCTCAGCAACCCCCCCCCCCCTCTCCCCCCTCGGAACATGGAATAGTATTCAGAGGCAAAACACATAATGTATAAATTGCAACCATGAAACAAAATCAAACACGAAATGAGAAATATATTTTAACCCTACGATCTCAGGTTGAGTTGAGTTATAAACATAGACAAGTTATATCCCATATTGAGTTTACTGGAAGTCTTAAACATAGCATGGAGTTACATAACTAGGATTTATTTGATTTGCCGTCTTGATGTAATCAGACATACATGTAACCCCCCCCCCCCCCCCCGAGGGTGGGGCATGATTAGTGAACTCAATATGGGAATACCTCCACAGGTCCCTGCAGAAGTTTTAGTACTTACGAGAAAGTCTTCTTTTCCGTGATCTTTGTCCAATGCAGTCTTTAGAGCATTTCCCAAATTTGGACCAATTGTTTAATTCACAGTCATTAATGCAATACACCCGACAGGACTGTGTATTGTTTGGCATAGTATCGGCGTATTTCAGACAGAATTTAATGTCTACTGGTTCACCATCTTCTCTTAGACAGCTTACATCTGCAAAAAACAATGTCTAATATCAGCCAGGAGCAACCTTTAATTGCTGACAGAATACAGTTAAAGCACGGTGGTCATCGCGCAGCATGTGTTCGAATTTCATGTAAATAAACAATTTATTTACACACGTCGCTATGAGTCTCATATCGAACAGGACGCGGCACAACGACTGCCGCTCTTTAAATGCAACAGAGTACACAAAATAATTTGCGGCCATGAGGAGGGAATATATTTCCCATGCATGGAGACATAGATGCAAATACTGTATAGAGAGGAATATGAATTTATTTTTAGTGTAATTGATAGGGAAGTTCACTAAGTTTTAAATTTACTGGTTTGTGGAGGATGTTCTATTGTTAATTTTGCATAATAACTGAGTTTTAATTTAGTGCAATTTCTCATAGCTATCTGAAAAAAAAAAAAAAAGAAAACCGAGCTAATAATTACGCCCCACACAGTACTTTGGGCTGGAATAATGTTTTATCTGTCTTACTGTTGATATACATGCTCTAAAATAACATTACTACTTAGACCAAATATAGGCGTCTAAGCACTGAGGAGTCTAACATTGAGCCAGAAGAAAAGTTAATGTTCTTCTTGAGTTTCTTTAATTTATTTTTATTTTTTTTATTTTACATAATATTGTACACTCACCTCTACTCTGTAATCCATCACCACACTTGACTCCATTCCCATCATCTGGCAAGATACAATCTTGCCATGGCAACACCATCCAATCATAACTATAACACTGTGGAGAATTATCACATTCTCTCTTCTCATGGAGAGTATCTGGACAGTCTCCCGATGTGCCGTATTCTAAGACGTATCTCTGGCGTTCCTGACTGGTTATTAATTTTTCACCTGCAGAACCACAAAAGTAAAGATGTTAATTGCCATGACTACAAACCTCCACAGATCAGTATCATCACAAAGAAGTATTATTCAATAGCAAATTTACATATACTGTGCAATGAGAAATATTAATTAATTAAATTATTAATTTAATTTTAACAGATTTGATGGTGTAGAGACACTCACCAGGTTTTACTTTCACCATTTGTGAATGCATTCTAAAGCTAACAGCTACCTTAGGGACGATGTCAAAAGGTCGATGTCGGATAAAAAACTTATTTGCTTTAGTTTGAGGGTGGGAGTTTGACCTCAAAAAGTTTCCATCCTACAAAAACGATTTTATTTTTTAATGAAGTCAAAAAAATCTTGGAGTATTTGTAGTTTTTTTTTTTCTATCCAATCATAGACAATAATAACAGAAAATTAAAAAAAACACATCCAAGACGAGAAAATGGTTTGATCCGAGTGTAAATATGTGCGTCATATGATGTCAATTTCAGGGCATGGACCTAGAGCATGCGTAGAACCCAGAAAAGTAGTTTGCGCATATTCCCCTTCATTATTACAACCAACTGCTATGCCATACTGCTGTCCAATTATCAATTTGTATTTAATGGTGAATGTAGTCTGATGCCATGATCGATATTTATCAATTAAGTTTTAGTGGGGGTGGAGGTGGGGTGTTGGAAAAAACTAAAGGAATTAAGTTTTTTATCCTACATTGAACTTTTGATGTTGTCCCTTAGTATATTTAATTTTAGTATTTTAGTTATCAGTTAAACTCATCTTATAATTAAACCCGTATCACAGTAATGTCAAAGTGAATTTGAGAATGAGGCAACACTGGTTACACTTCCATGGAAACAAGAAGATATACAAACGTCTTGTTTGTATATTGTTCATACATGAATGTAATACTGTGCTGGAATAAAAGTTTGCTAAAAAACGTTTTGGTCGTTTCAAGTTTGTTTTCACTCACTTTTGACAAATTGAATGTAAAATATAGAAAAATAGGTATATTTGCTGGATTTTATTTTCACTGAATCATCCTTTCAGCAAAAAAGCGAAAATAAACTGAGCAAAAATAAAGGATTTTACATTATGTTGCTCGGCCAAAGGTCAAAACTTTGTACATGTCTCCAATTTATAACGACTGTCGTATTGCAGTACATACCAGGTATACAGGTTGTAGAACACGGCGTCCAATCACTGAATGCTGTAGTCACACAATCCTTAGCACATGGAATTTCACACTGCATAGAAGACACTGGCTTCTGACTTTCCATACACCTATAGCAAAACATACATTGTAATTTACACTAAGGTAACAATTACAGATAGTTTGAGAGAAATTAGCAGCAGTTGTGTGCTTTACCGGGATATTTCAAATTCAAAGTTTGACATTTTGACATTGAGCTATACAAAAGAAAATTAAAAATCAAATCATTTGATTTTCACTGCTAGCATTTCACATCTCACAGTGATCGGAAAATCACCTACCCCGGTACTCCCAGATTTTCATAGTAAAACACAATGCAAATATTTCAATTTTATATGAACACATGGATTAAACTGATCAGAAATACAACCCAGTGAAAAATGTATAGTACTTACTTTCTTTCTGGCATTTCTTTGTCATTTTCAGCCTTACTACAGTAGACATTTCTTGTCATGCGTCCAGCAAAGCAATTGCCATGGGTGAGCGTTACATTGCTACCCACTGTTGTATCTTTTTCACAATCACTCCATGATTTAGTTCTCCAGGTAAAAGCATTGCAGGGTATTTTATTACACTCTCTATATTCAGTAAGCTTGTCATCTCCTGGACAGATATTACCACCTGTATAATGTAATAGTTTTAATAACATTACTGCTCATCATCAAAAAACTACATAACATACTACATGTATACCTTATTATTCTTCTATGTGTCTTATTTTTACGTGCCAACATTTTTTGGCAAAAGTCCACACAAATTAATTAGTTTTCTATAATTCTTAATAATAATTTTATTACATTTTTGAAAAAACTGAGAAAAAAAATTATGCATTTAAAAGGTTAAGATGACAGATGGTGCATACTATGAAATTATCTAAAATTATGCTAATTAGATCATGAATATTAATGAGCTATGCATAAATTACAAGAGACAAATGTAGATTGCTCTGTATAAATGTAGGCCAGACAGTTCAGTTGCAAATGATACTAACCCTTTCCTTGATACGCCAATATCGTCCTCACTCTAGACTGAGTGCCATTTTCACCTTGTTTTCCTTCACAAGTTTTAGAGCACTCATTCCATGGACTCCATGTGGACAGTACACAGTCATTAGGACATGGGATTTCACAGTGTTTCTCACTCATTGGTTTAGCACTGACAAGTACACAGTTACTTGCATCAACTTCATTCTGTTGATAGATGGTAGAAATGTATTTAAAATATAAATTGAAATGAATTCACCATGAAATGAATTCACCATAATTTAGCTGTCATTTTGTGTCGGCATTTAACCCATGTGATGTAATTATTATTCACAAAAGTTTGCAACTAACAAAATAAATATTGTACATACATCATGTAGCCAATCATAGAATGAAACGTAATGACCTATGACAAGCTGTGATCACTGTTATTTATCCAATCATAGAATGAAACGTAATGACCTATGACAAGCTGTGATCACTGTTATTTATCCAATCATAGAATGAAACGTAATGACCTATGACAAGCTGTGATTACTGTTATTTATCCAATCATAGAATGAAACGTAATGACCTATGACAAGCTGTGATTACTGTTATTTATCCAATCATAGAATGAAACGTAATGACCTATGACAAGCTGTGATTACTGTTATTTATCCAATCATAGAATGAAACGTAATGACCTATGACAAGCTGTGATCACTGTTATTTATCCAATCATAGAATGAAACGTAATGACCTATGACAAGCTGTGATTACTGTTATTTATCCAATCATAGAATGAAACGTAATGACCTATGACAGCTGTGATTACTGTTATTTATCCAA